AAACTGGAGCCCATTATACAGAGTGAAGTAAGCCAGAAAGATAAACACCAATACAGTATACTAATGCTTATATATGGAATTTAGAAAGATGGTAGCAATAACCCTATATGCAGAACAGAAAAAGAGATAGAGATGTACAGAACCGACTTATGGACCCTGTGGGAGAAGGTGAGGGTGGGATGCTTAGAGAGAACAGCATTGAAACATGTATATTATCTAAGTTGATACAGATCACCAGCCCAGGTTGGATGCATGAGACAAGTGTTCAGGGCTGGTGCACTGGGAAGACCCAGAGGGAGCGGGTAGAGAGGGAGGTGGGAGGGGGGATTGGGATGGGGAACACATGTAAATCCATGGCTGATTCATGTCAATGTATGACAAAACTCACTACAATATTGTAAAGTAATTAGCCTCCAACTAATAAAAATAAATGAAAAAAAAATGACCATCATAATCCATTAAAGAAAAAGATAAATGTCCTCTTCACTCTGAATGCTACCTCTAATTTTTCAGAGAAGAGTAAATTCAATTGAAGGGCATCATATACAAAGAACAATGTCTTAGGTTTCTAACCTGCAACCAGCCAGGAGGACCTGTCTGTACATTTCTACTGAAGATTTCCCACCAAACTGTCTGCCAGTGAGATAGGTGTTGTGGGAAGAGCTGATGAAGTAGTGAGCCAGAGGGTGGTCCATTTCTTGGTACAGCTCCAGACGATCTAGGAAGACGGGGGCATTTTCATCTGACATCAGGTATCTGCAAAACCCATCACTTGATATGAGGCCTGAGGGGGGGAGAGAGTATCATAGTAGATTTATGGTTTTGAAGATACATAAGTTTTATTTATGACATCTGAAGCAGCTTAAACAGGAGGAGTAAATACTACTTCACAGTGTCTTTCCCAAGAAACTTCCTCTTTCAGAACTTGAACAAAGTACCCAAGTTGCATAAGTAACATAATGCCTTCCACAAATAGGTGGCATCTGCTTTCATATCCATGATCGCAAAAGCATTCAGTTCCCTAAGTTCAGACGTGTAGTACCAGAACCCAAAGTGGAGGAGGGAGCAGTGGCCTCTCTGCATTCAAATAATTCCATGTTCCTATCTCATTTAAAAAAATGGGGTATAGGACTTGTGAGATGAGTATTCCATGGTCATTGAAATGTGACCCCAAGAGACAGTGATCATCTCAGTCATATCTTTGTGAAGAGGGGCAGGGCCAGTGTGTTAAATGCAGGAGAGACAGCAATATTTCTACATCTTCTCTTACCCAGTCAACCACCAATACCTCAACTTTCTTGCTTTTACTTTAGCATTTGAAAATTACAAGGTGATTTCAAGTGTACAGAAGAGTACAGATAATACCATGATAAACAGCCAAGGACCTACACCTCAGCCTTGTCTGATTTTATCTTTTCCTTTATCTACTTTACATTTTTTTTAAAGTAATATATAATTACAGGTGCCAGTGAAGTACCCTGCATGCCCCACCTCAAGTCCATTCAATTCCATCTTTTTATTCATATTTACATTCCCAAAATGGTTTGTAACTTTACTATACATAAGCACTTATCCCCAAAATAGATATTTTTGGCTATTTATAAGTTTATATAAAACATTTTTTATATTTCTTATGATTTATCTAGTTAATACCAGTAGCTCTTGGTCATTTACTTTTCATTGAGTGATGTACAGTACTGGTAGGCAGTGTGCAGAGTATAAGGTCCATATGTGAATATATTAATACCATAGTCCATGGTCCATCATTCTGTCGATAGATATTTAGGTCATTTCTGTTTATAACTAAAAGTACTGCAACAAAAATCTGTGTGTCTATCTCCTTGGGTATATACATTCACACTTTTCCAGGCACTGTGATAGATGCAGGACAGAAGAAACAGACAAGGCTCACTTTTATGAAACTCATATACTGTCGGTGAGAGAACAAATAAATTAGCAAAGAAATATAATGTTATGAAAGTGCTAGTAGGAAACTGAAAGCAGGAAATGGAAGCGATAAAGAATGACCAGGGTGCTGTGTTGGATGTGTGGCCCACAAGAGCCCTTCTGATGAGGTCACATTCATGCAGGGCAGCAATCACATGCACACCTGGGGGTACCCCATTCATGGCAGAAAGATCAGCAAGTGCAGAGACCACGTGATGAAGGGGGAAGTAGCTGGAGAGGAATCTAAAGACTACATCAGTTGGACTTCAGTCTTCATTAAATACCAAGTGTGTCGGGAAGCCATCGGAGGATTTTGAACAGCGGAAGAACATGATCAGACAAGATTTTAAAAGGTTTACTCGGGCTGCTGTGTGGTGCATAAATTGCAGGGCATCAAAAAAAGCAGAAGACTAGTTAGAAGTTAGCTGGCATCATCCAGGAAGAGTTGATGTAGGCTCAGATAGTCTGGTAAGGGTGGAGACAATGAGAGTGATTTATTCAGGATTTATTTTCAGGATGGACCTTACAGGTTTTGAGGATGGATTAGAAGTGATGTGAAAGAGCAAAACAAGTCAAGGATGACTCCAAGACTTTTGGCATGAAAAGGTGGGAGAGTGATGATACCATTTTCTAGGTTGGGAAAGGAACAGTCTGTGGATGGGGGAAATGAAAGCGTATTGTAAACATACATATATCTGAAATGCCCACTCACCATCCAAATGGAGAGGTCTATTATACAGATCTGTGGTTTAAGAGAGAGATTAGGAACGGAGAGTTTAATCTGAAAGCTGCATGTGAACAGAAGACACTTAAAGCCATTGGGTTTAGATGAGCTCATCCAAGGAGTGTGGGCAAAAGGGGCAGAGATCTGAGGCCTGAGCAGGGCCACTCTGATACCAGACCCAGACCCAGAAGTGAAGAGGCTGGGCTGCAGGAGAGGCATATTTTCCACTTGATTACGGACAAATTATTCACCAGGTGGGTGTTTGTATCAATTTACACACTCAGAGAGTTTACAATGCCTTTGGCACCATATTCTCACCCATACTTGCTAATGACAGACTTTAACATTCCTGTCATTTGTGAAATGATGAAGCTATACTTTTTAGACGTGTCAGTGGTAATGTCATAGACTTTTAGGATATTCTAATAATCAAAGACACATCTCTATCAGAACGTTTATCATACTGCCAAGGCACTACTGAGCCATCAGTCTTTCTCCTTCAATAGCTTTTTTGCAACCACCTTTTTTCATTTTGAAACCCCAGCATCTAGAACAGTGCTTGGCACTCAGTCAGTCCTCTATAAACTTTAAGGATTGAAAGCAGGGAAGAGAAATACTAGTGGAATGATGGTATGAACCTCACCATCTTATAAGCAGGGAAACTGAGGTCTATGAATAGAGGTCATTGTTCAAGGTCACACAGGAACAGGGTAAGCAACAAAAATCACATCACCTCCCACCACTGCAAGGTGCTAGCTTTCCTGCAAAGCCACTCCTCGCTTCACTTTCATCACATGCTCTGTGGAGTTGATTATGATACTCAGAGGGAAGTAATGAATCAGTCTGGCTGAAAATAGATATTTGAGACTCTAACAGGAAAGTATAAATGTATGATTATAAGCAAGGGGAAAACACTGTTGGGCTTAGAAAAACATCAGGGGTGTGGCCACATGGTGTGGTGGGCTTATACGCAGGTCTATGTAGGTCCAGAGAATGTATAAACGTTTTGTCCATGCTCACTGAGATACCAAAAAAAAAAAAAAAAAAAAAAAAAAAAAAAAAAAAAAAAAAANGAGAAGAACCATATTCTAAACAGGAGGAGACTGAGGCCATGATACTCATGGGCAAATGGGACAGAAAGAACTTAACCTGCATCTCTCTTCACTCTCCATTGAGACATAAGGCCAGAGGCTCTAGCCCAGCTATCTCCTGGCCCTCTCTGGCGATACTGTATTATCATCATTGCTCCCAGCTTTGGCAGGTGTTTCTCATGGTTATAGAACCAATCTTGAATTTCCTCCCCGTACCTGTCCTTTGCTAAATATTGAAATGAACAACATACTATTTCCAGAGTTTCACTGAGACAGGTAAAGGGTCAGAAACCCCAACAATTTGTTAAGTTGATTCCCATTTAATTTCATGTCAATTGCATTTATCTTCCATACCAGGGGTCAAAGGATGAGTAAAAAGCCTCCTCAAATCATGTATTAAATTTAGCTAGCCTGCTGAAACTCAAGGGACAAAAGAAAGGTGTCAATTTTTATAGGAAATGCCAATTTTTTCCAGAGATGGCAAACAGAGACTAAAATTGGCATTTTTACATTTTAAGCACTATGCAACATTAAGGATCTAATATAAGAAAGTACATGGGGAAATATCACTATATTTTAATAATAAACTTAGCATTATATTTCAGGCAGCAAAAACAAATTTTGGTGTAAGGCAAAATTTATACTGATTTAGGGGAAAAAAAAAATCAGTCAGTTGTCAATCCTTGTCTCTAGAGAGCTCCAAAGCATTTAAATTTAAAAATATTTAGCTAAAAATGCAAGGATTTTTAAAGTTGCATATACTCTTGAATTTTTTAAATAATGAAAAATTCTCTTTTATTTTTCATTTTTCTTACCTTGTTTCTTCAAATCTTCATCAGGCTCATACATCTCAATGATCTGCATTGCCCTTTTAGCATCATAAAATGGGAATAAAATTTCATTCAGTCGAGGATCTCGTTGATGCTATGATGAGAAAATAACTCTGTTTAGGTTCACCTTCCTCACCCTTGGGCTATTACACATCACTAAACTATGTAATTTTAATAGAAGATATATGTATAATACCATGTTTATAGTTACAAAGAGATTTTGCTTTTCTCCTGTCTTTCTCCCTAAAACAGACTACAAAAAGGTCCAAATTTGGCAGTAACTTGTTGGTTCCCTCCCCTGAACTGAAGATGGAGAGACAAAATATACTTTTTTTTTTTCATTGAAATTTGATGAACAGAGAAAATGGTATGGTCTTGTCAAAGCACAGGGAAGATATCTGGCATAAGTGTTTATAAAGTGAGATAAAAAATCTTTAAAAAAAAAGATAAACAAAAGCAAAAATCATACCCACGTAAGTGCCAAACCAAAAACAATAACAAAGAAACCTCCAAACCCCTGAAGTTAGATAGACAAATATAATTTCATTTTCATTATATCTTTCTAAATGAATAAAAGATTTTGGGGGCATTGTGAACTTCATTCTCTCGAGTAAATATTCATGAAAATGAATCCATTGTAATAAGGATGAAAATCTGCACAAGGATATTTACAAGCTCAAAACAACATGAAAATTTATATTTAAATATCAATGTTCAGAAATTCTATTTCACTGTGAAATCTAACTTGGTCTGACCTGAAGAAATCCTCTGGGCAGAAAGTGCATCAATATTTAAAGACATTTGGGAGGCTGGTAATGTCATTCTTTTCAAATCAGCACCCATAGGCTCCTGGTATTATATTATATGAGGCACCGGGACAAATTTCTGCAGATCTGTCACCCTAACTTCACAGCAAAGATGAAGAAAGTCCAACTTACTGACTTAGCTACAATCGAGTGTGTGTGTGTGTGTGTGTGTGTGTGTGTGTGTGTATCTATCCCTCTATCTACAGGTAGTGGGTCTATTAAACTTCCTTATTGTTCATGGTAGATTTAAGCACCAAACACTAAGTCCCTGGTCATCCATCAAATAAAGAAAGAGAGGAAACTGGAATGAAAAAAATGGCAGATAGACATGTGAGCAAAACTCAGTCAATAGGTAGGACCCTAGCAATGACTCTTTACCCAAATATATGCACAGACTTTGAAAAGCACTACTGGAAAAGTATTGAAGAAACAATTGTTAAAAGTTCGTATGGATTTCTCTTGCCCATTTGTTGTGGAACGGTCATTTGCAGAGTGGGGCACACAGCGTAAATGCCTTTGGCCAATAGAACACGTGACGTCATCCTAGAGCACTCGTGGCCTTGCCTGTTCTGGTCCCACCACCCCCCCGAGTGAAGAGTGTTAGCTCCTAAGGAATCAACATCCCTTTGCCAATTTATCCCAATGAAGCATGCTTCTGTTGGAATCTAAGAAATAACGGCTCCCATCCATGCAAGTGCTAGAGCAGAAACTGTTACATGAATAAGAGGCCTCAAGCCCATAAGGAAGAAAAGTCCTGGGGTGCAGAGAGATGGTACAGTGGACCGCGGGCTGCCAGGCAGGTGAAGGCATGCTCCAAGCCATCTCGTTCAGGAAGTGGATGCTGGCATGCGACTCCAGAGCCCGCCCCACGGCAACAACAAGCACCGCGCCTCCGGGGAGAATGCAGGGCTTCAAACCAAGCAAATAAAAACCGATACGTTTTCTGGGCACTTCCCTTCTCCCGTCTCTGTAAACACTCCCATGGAGGAAGATGGACGTGGCACAAAGGGGCCTTTTTGGACCCTACTGTGGTTCTGTTCGTGGCTGGCCACTACACTCACAAGGTTTTCTTTCTTATTAGGATTAAGTCTTTCAGTTTAAAGCTAGGCTCTCTGGTAAGTGTTCAGGACTCATGGGGGCAAATCCATATGGATTTAAGAGAGCGAAGAGCCTCAGTTAAAGAAAGAAACAAAGTTAGGAAAAGGCAGAAAGGGAATCCAAGTGTTCTCAGGCAGTTTGTGCACAGAGGGGTGTGTGCTCTAGCCTGGTGCCCCCTGCAGGGCAGTTTCTGAAGAGCAGCAGGGGCGTCACCCTCACTCGGGAGCTTGAGAGGAACGCACGTTCTGGGGCCCCACTCCAAACCTACCAAATCAGGCCTTCTGCGGTGGAACCTATGAATCTGTGTTTTAACAATCTTGTCAGTTGATTCTGATGTGCTCAAATTTAAGAAGCGTGGCTCTAGTATGTAAAGGTATGCATTTAAATATATTTGCCTATCAGTTTAAAAAATAGTGTCTTAGTTCTGCAAGGATAGAAGAATGCTAAACATTTGAAATCTGCTCCCAAGTAATCCTCACCAAAATTTATCAGGGGGCATAATATTCACTAGAGGAATATCCTTTTTTTCAGAAACAACAGCGAGGAAAACCAAGTCCTTAAAATATATGTATCATAATCCCCTTATTCTACATTTGCAGCAAATAAGCACCACAGCAATATGAAACTTCACTTCTCTTTACATCTGCTCCACCAGATAACCTTTTGCTTTTCCGAAAATGTTCACATTTCAGAAAGGAAGCACAGTGCAATCAGGATAACCCAAAGGCAAGGAAACATGGTAAAACTTGTGTTAAAAGCCACAAAAATATAATCCTTATTTGAAAAAACAAAGAGGAGAAAGATCATTTCCAGGACATCTCAGAGAAATAAGACTGCAGAAGATTTCCACTTGGTCATAAGCACTGTGGGGTGTATGTATTACAGCTGTGAGGGGAGAGACCATAGGTTTGCAGCTGGGATTTGGGGAAGCAATGTACTAAGGACATACACCCCATGATGTTCAGAGCCTTATAAAGGATAATACTGACCAGCTTCTGAAAATAGTTCACAGAACTCTGACCACGTAAATGAAGAGACAATGAATACATCTTTCTTACTACATCCACACTCTTATTGAGAAAAGACATCAACGGGCTTAAACCTGAGCAGCACTGGGAGAGAGATATGTTGACATAAATAATATTCAAAAGACATATAAGAAGATAAAGGAATAATTGGCAAGCCTTACTCATAGAACTAAATAATTCCTTTTCTGCCCAAGCATTAAAGACATTAAAGACATGGTACATGGAAAGTGATCTTGAGCCCTTTCTTACAGTCTTTCAACTGCAAAATAAAAGAAACAACGAACAAAATCAGGTTCAGCTCTAATGTGATCCTATGATACATGAGAGGCAGGAGGAAGAGTACCAGCAACCAGAAAACAAAGCTAATTCTGGATTCTTGTGGTTGTCTAAGACTTCTGTCTTCTCTTCTTACTCTGATCTATCTCCAGCTCTCCGTGCACCTCTCAATTCTGCAGGCCCTCAGATGTCATCTGTAAGAAGTCACACCAAAGCCTTTGACTGTGTGGATCACAACAAACTGTGGAAAATTCTGAAAGAGATGGGAATACCAGACCGCCTGACCTGCCTCCTGAGAAACCTGTAATGCTTTTGAACTGTGGTGTTGGAGAAGACTCTTGAGAGTCCCTTGGAGTGCAAGGAGATCCAACCAGTTAATCTTAAAGGAAATCAGTCCTGAATATTCATTGGAAGGACTGATGTTGAAACTGAAACTCCAATACTTCGCCCACTTGATGTGAAGAACTGACTAATCGGAGAAGACCCTGATGCTGGGAAAGATTGAAGGCAGGAGGAGAAGGGGATGACAGAGGATGAGATGGTTGGATGGTATCGCTGATGCAATCGACATGAGTTTGAGCAGGCTCCAGTAGTTGGTGATGGACACGGAGGCCTGGCGTGCTGCAGTCCACGGGGTCGTAAAGAGTCGGACACAACTGAGAGGCTGAACTGAACTGAAATGGACAATGAACGTAAAACTACAATTCAGTTTCTCATTAGGAATGTGGAAAGAGAGGTGAAACTAACTGAAGCCAAGAGGCTTTAATTAGTCCTGACACACACAGAACCGAGTTGGTGACAGTACCCAACCAGGTGCTAGCTCATAGTGAGCGTCCCCGCCAGCTCTTCTGGACTCAGCTTCACTGTTTTCATAATATTGGCATACACACACACGCACACACAAGTTTCCCTCAGCCCACTGGATGGGACCAAGAAACACAGCTATGCCAAAACTTTAGATCCGAGTAGTAGATTTCCGTGGCTACCTTCATTACGGAGAATAACAAGTTTATAAGTTCATGCTGCTCTCACATTCCTCCCATTGACAGTAACGATACCAAGGAGATATCCAGTGCTTCACAGACTCTAATTGCAGACAAACCACTTGGAGAAAATGTTCAGTGCAGATTCCAACTCAGCAGGTCTGGAGTGGGACCTGGGATTCTGCATCTCTAACGAGTTCCTTGTAGATACCGAGGCTACTGGTCCCCAGATCACCCAGAACATGGAGATACTGAGAATTAGATGAGGAGCAGATCTACATTTCCTTGTGAAAAGCCAGTGAGTGGTGATGGCATGGGCAGAGAGCAGGTGGTACAGAGCCCTACACAGCGACCAGGCAGAAAACGGACCCGTCTCTCCTCTGTCCAAATTCCTGCAGATACACATTAACACACTGAATGGAAAACTGCATATAAGGACTAAAGGGACTCACAAGCTGGAAGGTAGTGGGAGGCAACATGGTTTTCGCTAATATATGATAAATGCCATTTTTTCCTGTTAAATGTTAAAATAAGTGTTAGTCACTCAGTCATGTCTGACTCTTTGCAGCCCCATGGACTGTAGCCTGGCAGGCTCCTCTATCCATGGAATTTTCAAGGCAAGAATACTGGAGCGGGTTGCCATTTCCTTCTCCAGGATAACTGGTTAATGCTCATAGATGTGTGTTTATTGACTCTATTCTTTGTCCATCATTTCTCTGGTTACCTTGTTGAACTCTCTTATCCATTCAAAGAGTTTTTGATGGCTTTTGATATTCCGGTTACACAGTCATCTGCAAATAATGAACAGGGTCTTGTCCTTTTGTGTTTCTGGGACTCACTTATTTTTTCTTGTCATACTGCATCCAGGGCTTCTAATACAATGTTAAATTCCAGCTTACTGAGACCATATGGCTAAGGCATTTGACAATGTTTAGATCTAAGCTCTTGGAGTCAGAGACCCCTAACATTCCAATGCCTGCTCCCTTCCAGAGTGAATTCTGTCTCCTTTCATTATGGGTTTCAATGGTGCTCTGCCATGGGGTGCTTTAGATTTTGGAACAGTGAGAGGGAGAGTCCTCAAAAGTCCTATGGGTGCAAGGTGCTGGCAGAACACTGTACGTTTGACAGACTTCTTCAAGGAGACATTCTGATTTCTGTCTAGTTCTTCCAGCTGAGTTCATTAGGACAGAAAAGGAAGAGATTCAGGCAGACACTTTGATTAAATATAAAGGCTGTATACTTTCCTGGACTTGTAGTCTTGTAGTTTCTGTGACCTAAAGAAATCCAGAATCATACCAATTCAATTAGCCCCACCCTCAAATTGAAAGTGCCTCCTTACTGTTAATGAAAAGCCAAACATAAGCAAATGAATATTACTGGCCAGTGTAATATTGACAGATAAAAGCTACTAAGGAGAAAGTATTTCAGAAAGAATTTGGATGGCAAAGCCAGAAAGTATATGTGATCATCCCTTTTAAAATTAATTTTTTTTGTCATGACTTATAAGAATTACAAGAGTAGATACTGGGTAGGTCTACAAAAGTCTCCCAATCAAGGAAGGGCATGAGATAAGGACCCATGAACGCAGCATATACACTGAAGACTTCAGAACCGGTTCTTCACTTGAATAGGGCAACTGCAATGCATACTGAGTCTCTGCTACGTTTAACAGACGGCTGAGGACCGGCTTCATCCCAGAGCACGCAAGAGGCCTTTCTCTAGGAAGTGGTAAACTGATGATGTAATCTTCTCCCCACTAAACATCTTCCCTCTTTAGTAGAAAGCAAGATTTTTGCCTATCTCACCAAAACTTAAGATGACCAATGACCCAAAGTACATGTAAAGCTGAGAGAGATAAAACAATACATTTTTTAAAAGAAGCAGAAATATGGGGAAAGGGTTGAGGAGGCAGAGCAAAGCAACTTAACTTCTGAGCAACAGTGGCATAAGAATGTGGATAATATCTGGGTAAAGATTATGAACAGAGGATCCGCATAACCAAAAACTAGTGGAGTGAAAAAACTTGAAATGTTTTAAAGTAAAATAAATATTGTGGCATACTGAAAGGATTACTTTAAAGTAGGCATCTGTGTTGACATATGAGGGACCCTGTCTCTCCTGCATCCACGCTTCCAGGCTCTGGTTATCATAGCTTCTCAAGTGCAACCCTACAAATTGGGAGCCACTGGGCCCTGAATCAGAAAGAAACGAGAAGCCCTTCAGCAAAGATATGCTATGTGTCTTCAAAATGGCAAACCAGTCTGCCTGCTGCTTTTTCTTGAGGCAATACCTTCTACCTGGCATGATATTGTCTATCCTAACGTTTTGTCTTTATATGGTATAATGGTTACTATCAATTGTTTTGGAACAAAAATATACTGTTCAACCCTCATTTAAAATCTTCTTCTTATTTAACGTGTTAGAAAAAAAGTGCATTTCCCTTTTTCATATTAACAAGAGCTTCAATGGGTTTCACTGAAAACACTTTCTTGTACATGTAGAGAAAAAAAAAGTTATTTTTAGTTGTCATAAAAATTGGAACGTTAATGTGTTCTGAAATATATTTCTCTTGGGCTTAAGCACATTTTATCAACTAGTCTTGGTTGTTGAGTGAATCACATTCTAAAATTAGTTCTGAGCTTGTTACAAAAATAAAAAGTAAAAATTTAACCTGCCATCCCATTGGCCTAATATGCACTGTGTTTTCACCCAGGAACTCCAGTGTTGTGCTTGTTGTCAAAATATTCTGTTCAAACCTACATATTTTTCTTACATGCAATCCATTAAAAGACAAAAATAAGGCTTTCCCAGTCCATGCAAAAGTATGAGAAAAAGTTAGCAATGGTGAATCCAACTATAGGGTGGTAAACTCAATCCATTCTCTTTCTATTTCTTACAAGTAAATAGAAAAAAAAAAAGATAAATACCTTAAATATCATCTTGCAAAACACAGACACATTTAATTAAGTGAATATATTATCAAATTCACACACATACACAGACCCAGAGCTACACACCAAAGCAAGAAACCAACAAAAAAGCAGTGTGCGAAGCCAATGAGGAAGTGCATGGACACACGAGGGCAGCAGCTGATTTTTGCACCTGGTAAAGCCATCATGGAAAGATCAGCAGGTCAGAAGCAAAGCAAACGGGGGGTGCAGGATGCAGGCATGCAATGAGGATGCTGGAGGAAGCAAGCGACTGCACACAGACGGATGGAGTTAATGTATGAAAAAGCTTACTTCATTTAGAAAGCTCACTAATTGGTCTACCGTTAAATAATCAGTTTTGTCTCCATTGCTGAAAAGAAATTTATTAGAAAAAGTAAGTTTTGGTATATGATGCTACAGGAGGTACGATTTACATGTTGACATTTGTTGACGATAATCCTAAACTTATTTTTCTAAACCTGAACTCTTAAAACGGCCAGAGACTGTTTGTAAAGAAAAAAAACACAAAAACCCAACAACAGCAAAGGCAAGAAATCACTCCCCCAACTTACAGAAAATATCTGCAATCCTTCTTTCGCATTATCCAAAGTCATTGTTATAAAACAACATGTAAGTCATCCATTTGAAACAATTGGAATGAATGGACTTTTGAACAACATAATAACATTCCAAATCGAATCTAGTTAGTTCACATAACGGGTTAATACCTAAGGGAGCAGGTTAACATTGTAGGTAGTTAGTAAAGCCAATGCAGGGAGAGGAGGGGAAAGTTCCAGGTGCTGCAGTCAACTAATGTAAAAGTTTCTCAAAAAGTCAGAGTGAACTTTTACACCAAATAAACTAAGGGGTGAAAATGTAGCCCTGACTAGACATTCCTAGATACTGTCAACATATTATATGAAGATATTAGGACAAAAAATGTTTTTAAAGTCTAAAAGAGCAAGGATAACTTCAATGTGACACTTTCTCATAAATGGAACTTACATTTTTTTGAAAAGATCCTCTATATCTGTCCGAGGACAAATCTTTTGTGTCAGTTCATAGAACTTTTCATAAGTAAATGCAGCAGGCTCAATTTCGTCATTCTGGAAAGAATAGAAGCATGTCACAAATCAGGCACCATTCTCTCTCTTTGGAGGATCTACAGAATTGATAGGTTCATGAAGCAGAGTGATGACTACTTGTAATTCCAGGGTTTTTATCTCTGATTGCTGACAGGAGCCAGAAGGTCCAACCTAGAATCCAACTATAGGGTGGTAAACTCAATCCATTCTCTTTCTATTTCTTACAAGTAAATAGAAAAAAAAAAAGATAAATACCTTAAATATCATCTTGCAAAACACAGACACATTTAATTAAGTGAATATATTATCAAATTCACACACATACACAGACCCAGAGCTACACACCAAAGCAAGAAACCAACAAAAAAGCAGTGTGCGAAGCCAATGAGGAAGTGCATGGACACACGAGGGCAGCAGCTGATTTTTGCACCTGGTAAAGCCATCATGGAAAGATCAGCAGGTCAGAAGCAAAGCAAACGGGGGGTGCAGGATGCAGGCATGCAATGAGGATGCTGGAGGAAGCAAGCGACTGCACACAGACGGATGGAGTTAATGTATGAAAAAGCTTACTTCATTTAGAAAGCTCACTAATTGGTCTACCGTTAAATAATCAGTTTTGTCTCCATTGCTGAAAAGAAATTTATTAGAAAAAGTAAGTTTTGGTATATGATGCTACAGGAGGTACGATTTACATGTTGACATTTGTTGACGATAATCCTAAACTTATTTTTCTAAACCTGAACTCTTAAAACGGCCAGAGACTGTTTGTAAAGAAAAAAAACACAAAAACCCAACAACAGCAAAGGCAAGAAATCACTCCCCCAACTTACAGAAAATATCTGCAATCCTTCTTTCGCATTATCCAAAGTCATTGTTATAAAACAACATGTAAGTCATCCATTTGAAACAATTGGAATGAATGGACTTTTGAACAACATAATAACATTCCAAATCGAATCTAGTTAGTTCACATAACGGGTTAATACCTAAGGGAGCAGGTTAACATTGTAGGTAGTTAGTAAAGCCAATGCAGGGAGAGGAGGGGAAAGTTCCAGGTGCTGCAGTCAACTAATGTAAAAGTTTCTCAAAAAGTCAGAGTGAACTTTTACACCAAATAAACTAAGGGGTGAAAATGTAGCCCTGACTAGACATTCCTAGATACTGTCAACATATTATATAAAGATATTAGGACAAAAAATGTTTTTAAAGTCTAAAAGAGCAAGGATAACTTCAATGTGACACTTTCTCATAAATGGAACTTACATTTTTTTGAAAAGATCCTCTATATCTGTCCGAGGACAAATCTTTTGTGTCAGTTCATAGAACTTTTCATAAGTAAATGCAGCAGGCTCAATTTCGTCATTCTGGAAAGAATAGAAGCATGTCACAAATCAGGCACCATTCTCTCTCTTTGGAGGATCTACAGAATTGATAGGTTCATGAAGCAGAGTGATGACTACTTGTAATTCCAGGGTTTTTATCTCTGATTGCTGACAGGAGCCAGAAGGTCCAACCTCGGCCAGCCTACTAGAATACGGTGCATGTAAAGGAGTGTTTCTAGTTACCATGTGCCCAGGGTTTGGATGTTCAAACACTGGCCACAGCTGGGCTTGCTCTGGGAGATACTCCACAGAACAAACACAAAGAAACATTTCTTCCTTTTCTGGAAGGAAAAATGCAACTACTTGCTACAAGGATGCTGACTAAATCAAACCCAATGTTTTCTTATGCTTATTTTGTGAATTTTCACAGGCAACATAAAGGGACTTCTATAAGAATTTATGTTTCATACTGAAACTTATATTTCAAATAGGATTTGTTAAGGCAGTAACAGCTTAGATCTTTCTTGCAGTTAATACATTCATTGCAACTATTTTATTTTTTAAATTTATTTTATTGCAACTATTTTAAATCCAAAGGGCCACAAACTCAAATGTTTTGCTTGGGGAGAGGTGCTTCATAAAATATTTCACAACTGTCCTGAAGAACTTAATTTATAAGCCATTTTTCATGCTGACATTGTGCATGGTTCAGCCAATATTGATGGGCTTCTATAAAATAAGCTTTCAATAAGCTGTGTGAAAGAGCAGCCTGCTGTCATTTCCTTTTCTTAATAAAGTTGACAGGGACATTTGGAAATAGGCTATTTGAATACTATAATGTTTAGGCTAAAATGCCCAGAAAACAAAAGGAAGGAAGGATAGAAGGAAAGAGAACAAAGGAAAAATTGACTTTACTATATGTGACTGAACCTAATTCTGAATCTAACTGAATCAGTTTAATATAAATAATCTTACTTATTACATGAGGACAAAAATACACAAAGTGGTTTTAGAAACACATTATTAAATTAATGAATACCTTTCCACTGGGAAGACCTAGCTCCTTGAGTGCTTGAAAGATCACCTTTTCTGTTTTCCCCGATGCAAAGGTTCTAGTAATACTAGGGCAGAAAAGGAAAAAAAAAGTTGCTATTAATTCTGTTTTCTCTGATGGAAAGATCCAAGTAAAACTAAGTATGGCGGGAGAGAGGAGAAGAAAAAGGAAAATAAAATTACTTCTCATTTCTGGGTATTTGTCGCTCCCCACAGTGGCTCCTGCAATGGCCCTGTGCTGACCAGAGCTGGTGGTGCCAGTCAGGTGCCATGATTCTAAGACAGACAGTCCCCCGGGCTACTTGTGAACATCCACATCCAGGATCCAGACCACGGGACAACCACAGTAATAAATGTTGATCCTATCAAATTGCTTTCTTAGGAAAATGGGATGTGGCAGATGGACCAGCAGCTCTAGAACAGAAGCTCATGGTGACCTGGGGACAGAGAGGGGGCCACTTAGGACCCGGCCCATGCCTGGGGTCATCCTTTCCTGGCCCCATGCTGCAGCTGACATGCATTAATTATCAGGCATATTTCATTTGTATGGTTTTTTTTTATTGTGAACATCCACATCCAGGATCCAGACCACGGGACAACCACAGTAATAAATGTTGATCCTATCAAATTGCTTTCTTAGGAAAATGGGATGTGGCAGGTGGACCAGCAGCTCTAGAACAGAAGCTCATGGTGACCTGGGGACAGGAAGGGGGCCACTTAGGACCCGGCCCATGCCTGGGGTCATCCTTTCCTGGCCCCATGCTGCAGCTGACATGCATTAATTATCAGGCATATTTCATTTGTATGGTTTTTTTTTGCTTTTCAGGCCAAGCACCCATGAGCTACTCTGACATGTCAGCTGCCTCACGGGTTGAGGACTTTATTATGAAAGTGACAGATGTCAGGGAGAAGGGAGGCAGGGGAACAATTATTCAGTGTTTCAGCAGCATCTTGGCACTACCCTGAGATGTGGTATTTTTGAATAATGGTGGTGCCTTTGAACTAGTATGGTGTGCATCAAGGCTAGGAAAATGGATAACACCTTAAGGAGGGTATTTCCTGATGATGATAAAAGTAGGAGAGAGACTCCTTCTGACTAAAACACTGGTAACACTCAGAGCGAACACAGCCGAGGAGAGGACTTACACCCTGGAAGCTACGTCTGCACCACACAGAGAGCCTCCATTCACTGCCTGAGTGGAAGTTCGGGTAGTTATTCACCGTAATGACATAAATCAGAAGTTCAGCCATTGTGGGGAGAGAGACCTGACTTTTGTGTGTGGTGTGGCTGTGGAACACCCTCCCAGGAGCACAGGACGGTGAGTCTCCCCGCCTCAGCTTGTCCCGCGCCCCGCCGTACGCGTGAGCGGAGGCCAGCTCCACGGGCAGGCACTGACCGGTTCCCCTCGATCAGGGGGAGAAAGCGCCCCTTCCGCTGCAGCAGCAGCCTCAAGGAGAGACTAGGAAGAACCAGCTACAGGTCAATGAACTGTGCATTCATCCAAAACTTTACTATTTCATATTCAGTCTAAGAATACTTCAACAAGTGTACTTTTAAGAGTGTTTGAGACAACTGCATCCAAATATAGGGAGGCCCATGAATTCTCTTTCACAGACCCGCAGAACATACATGTGTATTAAACCAGTTTCAGGGCAGAGGGTGCTATGCCCACATTTTCCCACTTCTCTAGAGTTCATGGAACTTTCATACATTGGATTAAGAAGTACTTTATCTGCCCTTCATAAAGTAGGGGAAAGTAGCTGTTCATTTTGTCATTTTTGAAAAACAGCATGTATGTGTTAGGGCTACCCAGGTGGTTCAGTGGTATAACGAATCCATCTGTCCATGCAGGAGACTCAGGCTTGATCCTCGGCAGACAACGTGGTGTTGGGGAGATGGCGGGGCAGGGAGCGGGAGAGTCTGCAGGAAGAGAATACTGGCTGGGGCTTGGGAAAATGACATGGAGCAGAGAGCAGGACAAGGACATCTCACGGAAGTAGGAGGTTAAGAATTTGTGGGGCACAGAGAAACTGAGATGGAGAAAACAGGGTGTCCAGGGCCACGAAGGAGGAAAATCCATGTGGGAATACATCAGTGAGGGCAAAGTCAGAGCCCAGAGACATGGCTGTTGAGACGATAATAAAGGCAAGAGCTGGGAACTCCCTGGCTGTCCAAGTTAGGACTCCAGGCTTCCACTGCAGAGGACATGAATTTGATTCCCGGTCAGGGAACTAAGATCCTGCATGCTTTATGGCAAGCATGATTGCATAAATGAATAAATAAATAAAGACAAAAGGTTATGTGATAGCAAGAAGGGCTTGTTCTCAGGCCCATCTTTGCATGAGGGGACAAGAGAAAACAGGAGAAGGAAGGGAAAGAGACCGTTCCCTGTAGATGAGGGGAAGGGGAGGGGGCTGCCTTCTCGCCAGGCAGTTTGCAGAGTTATTATTGGGCCTTAAATGCACTTGGCTCGGGAGAGAGGAGGGTTGTGGAGCAAAGGTGAATTCTCGGAGTTTCCAGTTGCATCAGAGATGCAGTATTTAACCAGGAGAAACACACTTATCACAGGCTGAGAAAAACACTTATCACAGGCTGGGAGCACTCAGATAGCATCGGAGGGCATTTCTTTGGCAGGCAGAGTATGTGTAAAGGACTGTGATTCATGCAACCCTTTATACACAGCTCCACAGAGCAGAGTGCTCCACCGCAAACCGGTGTTCAGTGAGCGTCTGGAATGAAAACACACCGCCTTTCCCAAAGGAAGTGTAAGAGAAGCAAATGTGTGTAAGTGGTGCCCAGTCCTATCCGATTAAACTCCCTGCTCCAGGAGGCCTTACAGACGACCAAGACAGCGAGGACTCTAGAAGCTGAGTTTCGCTCTGCCCGCAAAGGCTCTACAATCCATCCAGCAGTGTTAACACTAGCTTTGCAAGGAAGAGCATGAAGGTAAGCCCCACAGATCCAGACCCTCACTGTGGCAGGCCGGGCCTTCTGGAGGTGGACAGATTATGTGGACACTGGGCTGCTGGGACCACCCCTGAGGGCTCAGCCCTCTTAAGACACACTCTCCTTTGGGACTTCTAGCCATAGCTGTTGGTTCTAACTCCAGTGACTTTCAAAGCTGTGGTCTAGGTGGGAAAGTAAAGTGAGCATGAGCATGTAGGTTTGCGAGAAAGGCAGATGGTAGAAGAGAAGGGACAAAGAAAGAAAGGGGAAGCGGCGGGTAAAGAGCTTTCTTCCCTTGTGCCTTAATTCTTCTTAGACATTGAATATCGGTTACAACCACAGAACAGGGGCCATGCTCAACCTGGTCTAATGACTGTGAAGCCAGAGCTCCTCCAACGTTACACACAACTACACTAATAGTTTCCATTTTAAAACTTCAGAGTGATAGTGATGAAACGACATTTTAAAGTGTTTACTCTTCGTATCCATTAAAACATTCAGAACAATTTCCATCTTGCCCTTGGCAGCTCATCCACACAAAGATTTATCCGCTTTTCACTGGCTCAATATCAATTCTCCTTCAACTCTGTCAAACTGCTCCCAGACCACAGATGTCCTGCGTCAAACACCTGTTAATACTGGCAGCCACCACAGTTCATGTCAGAGAGCGCCAAGGAAGATGACAAAATATCTGGGCTATTTCCACAAAAAGAGGCGGGTAATAATTTTGTTCGTGAACAGGTTGGATCAGGCTTCCAAGCTTGTGTAACAAAGGCTTGATTAGTAGCATGTGTACAAATGACACCAGAACTGCCGGTGAGGAGTGCTCTGATCACAATGTCTGTGTTTCTACTTTGCCCATTTCCTGAACCTTCTCCTGGAAGAAACATCAGGAGAGCAAGGTATGTAAAAACAGACCCAACTCACATTGCTGGTTTTCACACCGCTACTTGTTCCAAGTTTGGACTTATCACTTCAGTGTGTATGTGTGTGCTCGACTCTCTGTAATCATCCAGGCTCCTCTGCCCGTGGGCTTCTCCAGGCAAGAATAGCGGAGCAGGCTGTCATTTCCTTTTCCAGGGGATCTTCCTGACTTACTCTCCTTTCTTGTGCCCCTAGCATTGGCAGGTAGATTCTTTACCACTGCGCCACCTGGGAAGCCCTATTACTTCAGTACTTATTTTTAAATAAAAATGCACTAAATATTTGGCAATAGCTGTAGGATCCTGAGATACATTAAAATAATTACCCTGCTATTCTCAGTAGAGCAAAGGGTTTTAAATAAGATAAGGATGAGTGTAAAGTGTCTCTGCCAACAAACATTGATCAAGGGTGCTAGCAGGGCTTTTTGCTTTTAAGATTTTGTGTGTGTGTGTGATGTGGACCATTTCTTCAAAGTTTTTATTGAATTTGTTACAATAGTGTCTCTGTTTTAGGTTTTGCTTGTTTTTTGGCCACTAGGCATGTGGGATCTTACCTCGTCAACCAGAGATTGAACCTGCAGCCCTTGCATTCAGTTGTGTCAAGTCTTAACCACTGGACTACCAGGGAAGTCCTCAGCAGGGCTTTTTAAAAAACTTCTAAGTAAATGCAAAATTGACTCGCTAGTAAGTGATTAAATAAAAAACAGAGAATCCTACATATAGATTTGTAAAGACCACAACAGATGCATTAAGTTGGTAACTCTGAAAGCCCTCAATAAAAGGTGAAATAGAAAGATTACTGCCTGGTCTTCTTTACAACCTGCATGCCCTGTGCTTCTCACTGATACCTCAGCTGTCACGTGGATACCTTAGTTCATGACTGCTATAACCCACAGAATTAAGGAAACCGATGATCTCTAGGATAGTTCTATTAAATGTGAAAGGATGCTGAGGGAGACGCCCTCGGGGGAATGCAGAATGGAGGCTTCAGGCTAGCAGGGAGGGCAGGAAAGGAGAGGCAGAAACAGCCAGTGTGATCCACGTGCAGCTGCTCCGGGGCTCACCCCAAACGCCACGCAACAGGCGACCTGTCCCCTCATCCTGACGGCTACAGCCATTCTGAGACAGGCTCCAGCTGGTGGCCTGGGTTCTGCCTGGGGTTCTTGCTGGTTGGCTTCTTTGCTAAAGTGCTGGGCAAGACCTCAACTTGAACGCGAGTCTGGAGAATTCTTGAAGAGTGGGTCTGGCCCGGGAGCTCTTGCTGAGTTCAGGCTCAGGACTGAATACACTCCTGGCTTCAGATGGGCAGCAGACGCCCCGGGGCCCAGCCCGGCTTTTGGAATTACCGTGGAGTGCTTACCACAAACACCAGCCGAAAAGACACTGGGGAGCTGGGTGCAGAACCCCACCACTCCCACTGCAAGAGGTTCCAAAGGCCCACAGGCCAGGAGCAGTCCTAACGCTGCAGGCGGAGCAGAGCGGGCCCTCGGGGTGAGGCACGTTGGCGGGGGGCCGTTTCCGGCTCACCGTCTCCTCACTCCTGGCTCCGCCGGGCATTCTGTGCTCCTCTTTCTCCCTGTCACTGCTACTCTGGGCAGGCTGAAGGGGCAGCGCCGTCCTGAAGGGGGTGTGCTGGCAGGGACGACACACCCAGGCTCCGTGGTGCCCGCCGGCCCTGGGCACAGAGGGCCGACGGAACCCGGGACGAGCGGCAGTGTCCAGAGGCGGCGCCCCTCCTAAGGCACATCCCCACCCCACTACCTCAGGTGCAGAGCAGAAGAGAAACTTCTTTAATGTCAGCTAATGGTTGTTTGGGGCAAGTAGGTGAAAGATGAAAGAAAGTGAAAGTGCCGGCCGCTCAGTTGCATTCTACGCTTTTTTGACCCCGCGGACTGTAGCGCCCCAGGCTCCTCTGTCCACGGAATTTCCCAGGTAAGAATACTCGAGTCAGTTGCCATTTCCTTCTCCAGGGGATCTTCCCAATCCAGGGATTGAATCTGGGTCTGCTGCATTGCATGCAACTTCTTTATCATCTGAGACACCAGGGAAGCTACTTAAATCCCCAAAACCCATTTATCTAAAAATAAAAAAAAAATATTCCTACATTTTCAGATGTTCTTTATCAGGATTACTGCTAACCATTCTGAGAAAAAATGCGACTTTACATCCACAGGTGATTTTTACGAAGTAAACACAGCATCTGATAATGTGATTCAAACTAAGATTCCAGAAATACCTGTAACTAAAGTAATTAACAAGTCCTTGTGGGGGGCTTTCTCTGTGGACTGGTATCATGAGGGCCGACCCAGGCTGTGCAGAGCAGGCAGGAATAATTGACTTACCTCCTAACTGGAATTTTCCCATTTGTGTTGGTCATAAATGCCAATTTCATCCAACTGGAAAACAACAGCAACAACTGTTTTAATGTTTCTTGGGAGGAATAGCTTCCATCTGGTTAAAAACTTTAAAAGAAAGTTCACTCAAACAAACACTATTTATTCAGAAAACCAGAGACAATCGCACACCATGAGATAAATTTACTGTTTGTCAGATTCAGCTAATAAAGATATAACTCTCAGTTAAATTCGAACTTCAGATAAATAACAAATACTTTTCTTTTAACTACAGGTATGTTCCAAATATTGCTTAGGATGTATTTATACTAAAACATTATTTGTTACTTATTCAAATTTCACCGAGAGTCCCATATTTTATCTGTCAATCCTAGATGAATTAGGAAATTGGGTGTGTGCCTTGAACATAGCAAATCATAGGCACTTGTTTGGTGACTGGTCTTGTCTTTGACTGCTGCTTTTTAATGATCTACTAAGGGGCTAAGAAAGGCAACGGCCTGGTGACAGCAGCCAGACTTGTCTGAAGTCAGTGGGGACAGCCCCGGCCCTCACCCCTCCGCCACCCCAGGGAGCAGCCAAGTGCAAAGGGAGAAGCAGCCAGGCGTGAACCCTTTGTGACCTCATGCCCCTGGCGGATGGGTGGACACCATCTCCGTAAAGGAACCTGGATCCTTAACTTGCCACTGTCAGAGAGGTTCATCAACTCAAACTGATGGTGAGAAAGGCCGAGCTTTTCCCAGGTTTTCGGGACCCAGCGGGACCCGGAACACTTATCCTTTGGTGCCAGGGCTGCTCTTAACTACTGACTCCTTTCTCACTGTTCCTGTAAGTAATCTAACAATCTGCAGAACATGATGATTTGGTAAAGCTTTGTCTTAAATCAGTGTTCCTCGAAGCACAAGTGGCTACCTTTTAAGGGGCTAGTTTCAGGACCACAGGAGTGAGGCAGTGGGCAGGCAGGGAGGGACGGTCACCTCAAGCTGTGCTCTCAGCCGGGCTTTGTCCCGAGGCCACTGGGACCTCTGGAGTGTGATCTGTGCCAGGCTTGGCGGCAAGGGGGCAGGCTCTGATACCTTGTCTCAGCCTGTCATTGGCCGTGACCTTCCTTTCTGAAGAAGGGGCGAGGGCAGGGTCAGCCCTCCTCAACCAGGGACATGAAGGGTCAACCCTAAGGGACTCTGTGGATTCTGGTACGGGCAGGGGTCCTGGAGCCGGCCCCCTGAGACACTCTGGGAGGCTGTGATCTCCTGGGCCCTTGATTCCCCTGTAGGCAGAGGGTGGTTCTCTGGAGAAGCAGGCAGACGCGAGCCCCGAGCGACCTCGCCCTTCAGCCGCTGGTGCATGGCTGAACACCAGCGACGGAAAGCGGTCTGGGCGGGACACCCACGAGGGCAGCTAAGATCTGGCATCCGGACACAGAATCGGCTCCCTCAGGCCTCAGAGGGCATGCCAAAAGTCTGAGATCCTTTGGGATTCCATGGCATCAAAATATCTGCTGGGTTGCTCTGTATTTTTAAGAAATCACGCGAGAGCAACTGCAGACGAGAAGAAGCAAGTGCACAAAAATAGGAATATACATGCCTGAACAGCTCCCCTCTTCTAAGACAACAGGGACACACTGGAATGAGGGCATCGGAATCAGAATGTGTAATTGTGAGTGAGCGGGAGTGAGGGGCCAAGCACTGGCTTTGCATGGCCTCGCTTCTCTGCAAGGAATCTTACGAGTGGCGTCACCGCCTTCATGCACAGATGAGGACAGTGAGGCTGAGAACTTTATCAGGCAACGAAGTGACCAACGCGGGAACTGCAGCAGGGCCCACGCTCTCAGAGCACTGCCGAGGGGACCGGAGTAGGACACAGGAGGCCGGGGGCAGAGCTCTCCCTCCGTCGCCCACAGCCCGGGAAGTCCCGCCCTGGGCGCTGGCCAGGCCCGGCTCAGGGGTCGTGCAGCCTGGCCACTGCAGGCTCCCCACACCGCCCGCCGCCTGCCCCGGGCCCGGATCACTGCTTCTCAAACAGGAGGACTGGGGCTTTGCTTAGGGCTTCTACTTGAGTAACCTTCACGTCACCCATAAGGAATAACTTGATAGGGTTAAAAGCTACCACCTGGTGCCTCTCTGAACGTTGGATACAGTGAGCTGGGGTGAGGAAGGCCTGCCTTCTGAATTTCAAAGTACCTTTGGATCCCTGACGGCTTACCAAAGAGTCCCTGGGGCCAGTGCTTCTCTCCCTCCAGAGCAGTGGGTGCCTCCGTCAAATGGAGCCACACTCCCCATCCCTCGGTCTCACGAAGTAGAGGCTTGAGCCGCACCCAGCCCCCAGCTATAGCCCCAGGCACGCAAAGCTACTTATCACAGCCTGGGGACACAAAAGCCCAGCCCCACAACCCAGGGGACACTGAGGAGCTGGAGTTCCAGTACCTTCCTGCCACCAACCATTCCCCACGGTTTTGGGCCAGGGGCATCACACATGCCTGCCAGGTGGCAGGAAGGGTACCGGTGTGGACTGGTCAACGACTTCTCCAAAGTCAGGAGCACAGAGGGGAAGGCAAGGAAGGCGCTGCCTGGGGCATGTACGCAGCTTTCATCTCCTAGTCTGCATTTGCAGCTTTCATCTCCTAGTCTGCATTTGCTTGGTAAAAGCCAAGCACAAAGAGTCATGCAAACAAAACTCACTGCTTCTTGAGGCACGTCATTGGGCTGACGTTGTTCGCCCTGAAGTTGTGTATGATGGATCTCAGGCCTTCGACCCATTGCTGAAAGAGAAAGAGAAAATGTTCCCGGTGAGCAAATCCACCGGAGCAAAACCGGCAAGTTCTTATTAGACAGCCCATATCCATTTTGTGGAAGAATAATATAAACTCTTCTCTATCTCCTTCCTGCCACTCCCATTTGGATCAAACGCTCACATTTTATGCTTTAATAAACAGCTTTCCCTTATTCCATGAAAATAAACGTGGCACACACAGTGTCATTAAACACTGGGTTGTCATGAAGGATGCTGCCCACTGACTGGCTGGTTAAGTCTTCTATTTGCAGCCTGCTGAAATATAAGTCCCGTCAGCTGCCAGCAATCTTTACTATTTCTAAAGCAACATTATACAATACATGGTGACTCTTGTTTTAGAGGTTCATCCATTTTATTGTGGGATTCTATTTCAGTGTAAGAATTTGTTACCTCTCTTACCTGTCTGTGTTTTCCAGTAAAGCAGGCATTGACTGCCAGGATACCCGGAAGAAATAGCAATGTGTTTGCATCGTTTCTGTAGAAGGCTTGGACTTCAGCATTAGTTCACAACATAACTCCAAGGATTTACAAGGACAACTGAAGAAGCCCGTGCTGAGCAGTGAAGGAATTTAGGTTTCCCAAGGGCATTTGACTAGAAAAGGCTGGCCTGTGAATTAAGGCCAACTCTGCTCGTGGGCCCAATAACGGATGCCAATGATGCCATACCAGGCTTCTAAAATAGAGTCACACTCTTGGCAAAATGCTTTGTAGCAAATTCATAATACTGGGGGTTCAAACAGAACTGGGGCCCACACATAGGCCAGCCTCTACCTTCTTAGGTTTAGATCTGTGTGAGGAGGGGAGTATTTTGAAACAATCATGTTGATGCACAGTCTGCCTGCCTGTCCACTATGGCAGCCACTGGCTGCATATGGCTAAGTTAAACTGAATAAAAATTAACTAAATTAATTAACTAAATTTTAGCTGAATAAAAATAAAATTCAGTATCTTCTGCACTCATCACTCTGAAAACCCAATGTGTGTACCATATCAGACAGTGCAAATAAAGAACATTTCTGTCATCACCGAAGGTTCCACTGGATAGAACTGCATAGTATTACCAGGTTGAACACGGTCAAGGGATTAGGTCACTTGCAAGGGCCAGAGGTGATGCCTTAGTTCTATATGTCTGTGTGATTTTAATTTTAATTGTGATATAATACATATAATGTGAAATTTATCATCATAACCTTTTTAAAGTGATCAGTTAGTAGTAGTAAGTAACAGTCAAATTTTTGCACAACCAACACCTCCAGCCATCTCTAGAACACTTTTCATCTTGCAGAACTGAAATTTGGTTCAGTTAAACAGAACCACTTAAACAACCATTTAACAACCACTTCCCATTTCCTCCCCCATAACCCCTGGCAACCACCATTCTCCTTTCTGCTTTCTGACTTTAAGTACTTAAGGTACCTCATGTAAGTGGAATCATGCCATATTTGTCCTTTGTGACTGATTTATTTCACTTAGGTTAAGGCTTCTCTGTGTTGTAGCAGGTATCAGAATTTCCTTTCTTTTTAAGGCTGATAATATTCCATTGCATGTGTAGACCACACTTAGTTTATCTGTTCACTATCAGTGGATCCTTGTGGCATCACTAAGACTAATGCTGCTATGAACACGGGTGTACAAATGTCACCTTAAGTTTCTGCTTTTGATTCTTTTAGATATATACCCAGAAGTGGAATTGCTGGATTGTATGGTAATGTTGCTTTATGTTTCTGAGAAGCTGCCATATTATTTTCCACAGGAGCGACATCATTTTACCGTCTCCCTAACAATGCACAAGGGTTCCAATTTCTCCACAGCCTTACCAAACTCGCTATTTTCTGCTTTTCTTGTGTTCTGAGAGGTGCCACCCTAATGGATATGAGTCTGTAGGAGAATTTTTGTGCTTTCCTCTTTGAGCCCCAGGCAAACCTAACAGACTTCTGGAGGGGGACTTGAGAGAGATAAGAGGAAAATTTCCTTTCACAAAGAAAAGGAAATTCTGATGACTCTAAATCGCATCGAAAGCCTCAGCAAGCATGATGATGAAGTCCGAATTCTGAGGGAGGAGGAAGAAATGAAATAGCAGCATTCAAGAAATGCCTCAATTATTTTCCTCATTAGACCTTGCTTCCTCTGTCAGGATAAATATGGGACTCTGACTCCCTGGGGATGATCAAGTATCCTGTGATTGGCCTAACAAGCCGCAGGCCCACACAGTTTCCCAAGAAAAGACAGGAAAAGCACAGATGATTTGGTTGGCATGAACTGGGAAGCACCAAAGCCTTGTTACACGTTCCAAAACACAAAACAAAGTCCATGGTTTCCTGAGGGCAAAAAAGTAGACCATTTCTGAGACTGTTCACTGGTTCTTTCAGATTATTCTGATTCAGTTGTTTCCAAAAAGAAACCACAGAGATACTGGACTTTGAGGAGGCTTCAGTGACATTCATCTATTTTTTGAAAATACAGCGTGGAAACAAATTTGCTTATTTGTTGTGATGGAGCAGTCCGTGCGAGTGACCTTTGAGCTTGTTGCACCAGTGATGTGGCTCACGCTTCAGTTAGTAGAAATGGCCCTGGCCCCCAAAAGCACAGGGAGGAAGCTTCAGTTTCTCCTCTTTGCGATGCTAATGTGAGGTCCACAGCCTTGTCCAAGGCCACACAGCGGCCAGAGCAGAGCAGAGGCAATCAGAACTCTGCTGTCTGCCCTTCATGTGTCTGGGAAATTTGTCCTCAGGGCTCGTCCACATATCTCCTTCCATGACGTGAAAAGATCCACCAACCTTCCCTTCTGTCTCTCATCTCAATGTACACTTGGCATAATGAGGCCAAGAGGCTGTGGGAAACATGCTAAATGTTTTGCTTTTTGGTTTTGTTCTTATTAAGACATAAAACAGAGGAAATGCCAGCAGGTGTCAGTAGAACCTTAGAATTTAGAATTTAGTTGGGAAGTTAGAAATGAGATAAATGCGTATCAACTTCTTTGAATGTTTCCAGATTAACAGAAGCAAAAAAAAAAAAAAAAAGCCAATTTAGATATGGTTTTCTGAATTGCTGAAAATAAGCATATATATAAATAGTCTGTGTGACACCCCACGAGGCGTATCTTAAAGCCTTGGGCTGCATGTTTCTAGGATTATTCCCCGACACACACTGAGCTCACACACGGGCTCCCTGGGGGCACAGGGTGTGAGCCCTTCTGCCCCGGGTGTCTTCCCTCGGGTCGGCGGTCCTGAGCGGGCACACGCAGGAGAACCAGCCCACAGAATCCACTCAGCTACAATGTGCAAGCTTCGGCGCCTCCTCGGAGGCTGTTAACAGCCCTTATTCTCTCATCTTCCAACTCTTCCAATTCTGTCTAAATTAACCTACAGCTTATTTCAGGCCCTCTAAGGAACAATCCTTTGAGAGACTCTCGGGGGTCAGGGCTGGATGCTTGGGGAGGGGGCAGGCGGGCCGAACAGAAGCTGCCCCTGAATAGACCCTGGGAACTTTCACCCCCTCACCCTCTCCTCTGGGACCTTTTAAACTTATTTTCGTTATGCAGGCCCCACAGTGTCCATTTTCCAAGCAAATGTCTGGGGCCCACCCTTAAACACTAGGACTCTCATAGACAAAATAATCTCTTTCCCATTAAGAACCAATAACAAAAAAGAAGCCAACTCAGAGACACAGAGAACAGACTGGTCACTGCGAGTGGGCAGGGGGAGGAGAGGGGAAGGCTGGGGGAGTGGGCGGCAGGAACTGCAGGCTGAGAGGTTCAAGGACGCACTGCACAGCCGCTCTTCTGTGCTAACTGTAAAGGGAAAGCAAACTTTAAAACTGTATAAAAGGAAAAACATAAAAAATTTAATGAAATAATACACTCTGTAGATGGAAAAAAACAAAAACAAAAACTCCCCAAATGTATAGAGACAAAGACATAACAGACCTAAACCAAAAGATACATGAATTTACAGAGCACATATCTTGCTTTTCCTCCTTTAAAAACATTTGGGGATTCTTTTAAGGTTATGAAAATGATATTTAAATGCTCTGTGTAGAAAAATGCAAAGCAAGAAAGCAAAAAGTAAAGACTTCTCCAAATCCCATTACTGATACTGAGAGCTGACAACACTTTTCTGTCTGAGCTTCTAGGCCTTTTCCATGCACATGCTGCTGCTGCTAAGTCACTTAAGTTGTGTCCGACTCTGTGCACCCTATAGATGGAAGCCCACCAGGCTCCCCCGTCCCTGGCATTCTCCAGGCAAGAACACTGGAGTGGACTGCCATTTCCTTCTCCAAGGCATGAAAGTGAAAGTGAAATTGCTGAGTCGTGTCCGACTCTTCATGACCCCATGGACCGCAGCCCACCAGGCTCTTTCGTCCATGGGATTTTCCAGGCAAGAGTACTGGAGTGGGGTGCCATTGCCTTCTCCATTCTACGCACATAGTCCTCCTAAAATAACTGGTCCTTCTCAGTCAGCATCACTTCAAGTAGAGTTGTTGTTCCTTCAACTCAATCTTATCTCTAGATTTTGTTCCAGAAGCATTCTTGTTTTTGTTGTTTAGTGGTAAGTCATGTCTGATGTTCTGTGACTCCATAGTCTGCAGCACACCAGGCTTCCCTGTCCTTCACTATCTCCCTGAGTTTGCTCAAACTCACGTCTATTGAATCAGTGATGTCATCCAACCATCACTGTTGTCTGTTGTCTCCTTCTCCTCTTGCCCTCAATCTTTCTCAGCATCAGAGTCTTTTTCAATAAATCAGTTCTTCGTATCAGGTGGCCAAAGTATTAGAGCTTCAGCTTCAGCACTAATCCTTCCAATGAATATTCAGAGTTGGTTTCTTTTAGGATTGACTGTTTTAATCTCCTTGCTGTCCAAAGAACTCTCAAGAGTCTTCTCCAGCACCACAGTTCGAAAGCATCCATTCATTGGTGCTCAGCCTTCATTATGGTCCAGCTCTCACATCCATACTACTGGAAAAACCAT